CATAATGTTTGCTTTTTGTAATGTTATGACATTGAATTTTATTGTAGAACTGTTATTAATTATCTTAATTTGACTGCTTTCAATGACTAGCTTCTATGAAAAATGTTAAAAAGCATAGATAATTATTATTTCTTATGGTTGATCAAAGAGCTTAACATATTTTGATAAAAGTATAATTCTATATTATCTAGACAACTTAAAAACTGTAATCATGATTTAGAAATAGAACATCAATATATATAACAAGATCTAATATTGTCATGACAAAATCATTTTCAAGTTTAACCTTCTCAAGCTTTACTAATTTAGGTTTGCAGGATTTGTTATATCATACTTGTAGCCAAATAACCCGAGTCTTATCAGGGGTGCATACTCAACTAACGAACAAAAAATAGGCAAATGTAAGTAGAGCAGTAGCATATGAGTCGAAGGAGGCGAAGGAGCTACCTACTCGATTGACGAAGCACGTGAAAGGGGAGAAAAACGTCTACTGCCATAGTGAGCAAACTCATGTCGTTACTTTCAATCCAATAGGAAGAACATCATTGATGATTCCCAGACTTCTGATCTAATAGGAGACGTCGTTAAACTATCCTGACTTCCGATCCAACATTGAACGTTTTTTAAGAAGGCATAGAAACTTTTAGTGATTCGTTCAAAACTCTACCTTACGTGTGGTGCATCAGATGAAGTTGAACAACACGAACAAAATGAGGTTTAGAACTTCACTCGACATTAGGTTTAGGTTTTAAAATATATATTTAATTGTTATTAAGAGGTGATTGCCTCACAGAAATGAGGCGATGTGCACCTTTGTAAATTTGAGGCGTACGCGAAGCGTTCTCCTTAACACATTTCAGGCTCGAATTACGCTGAGGCGCATCTCTAGTTGCGCAATTGTACAATTGCGCCAACTTTCTTATTTGGAGCCAATCAACTTTAAACTAAAGAGTTTGAACATTATATTCTAGGCATGACTTCTCTTAGTGGTTCAAGTTAGATTTAAGACAAGATTGTGATGGCAACATAAAAATGATAATGAATAAAAAGATCTTAGAAAGAGTTGAGTTCACCGATTCTTTAGGATTTGCTAAATTCTCTTTGAGGACTTGTCTTTCATCAAATTTGAATGTGGGGGCATCCATCTAAACTCGCTAGCTAGGAGGGATTCATACTCCAGTCGATGCTAGAAGTATAAAAAGGGAGTCACCTTTTAGTGTTACATATTTTCTTAACTAATACGAGCTATGTACCTAAGATGAAATTAAATGGTTTGTGAGTGTTTTGTAGAGTTCACTTAAAAAATAAGAGGAAGGGTGAGTTAGTACAATGACCCGTTATTAGCCTATCACAAGAACTTTTTTAGTCTTGGAGTTTCAAGGCCTTAAAATGAAAAAAGATTTTTGTCCTTGAAAGTTCATATAATCTTCTCAACTTATATTAATAGTTCAAATAAGATAAGGTGACCAATGCAAAAGTCCTTAGGAAGCCTCTACGACAAGAACAATCTCGCCACTTTTAAACTAGACCATAGGACAAGATCACTAATCTTTGAACCCAAGTTGGTCTACTTATTGTTTTTGCACACATTGTCCCCATAAGTCGAAATTATTCAAATGGTAGACTTATCACTTGCTTAAGTTCAAACTTGTCCGACTTTGAATTGTGGCAAGTTATACCAAAACCAAACCTTAGTAGAACATTCTTTCATTCCTACTATTTCGACCAATGATGGTGTGCAAGTTCCCCGAGAGATTAAAAGAATGAGGCGAGTTTCCTACGAGGAAGTGAGATCCCCTAGTCATTGCCTTATTATTTTTTTAGCATGTTTCACTTAATAACAAATTTTCATACATGAAAATACCATGAATGACTTCCAAAACAAAAGAAAAAACTCAGGGGAAATTTTTTTATTAATGTGCAAGAACATACAACATGCAAATACAATAATTTATCTTATGACTAAAATATCTTTTTAAGTCGTCAACAGTTCAAGTCATAAGCACTCAACTCTTCTCAAAGATAAAACTAGTGTCTTTTAGTTCGATTAAGCCTTCGTTTGGGACGGCTTTCTTACTGCTTCATAAAGTAATTTTTTAGCATAAAAATTAAAATTTTATACTAGAAAGCTGCTTTAAGAAGCAAAAAGAAAGTCGTCCCAAACGAAGCCTAAGACTCACTTTTTGAGATTATTCCAACTCCATCTCCCTTGAATATGGTAGGTACTACAACAATTATGTGGATGACAAACTCTTTCAACGGCACAAAAGTATTTGAAAAAAAAAAAAGAGGAACAAGCAGGGTGCAAGGGGGGTAAGAAAATTAGAAAGAAAAAGCAAGACCTTTATAACCAGCCTAAAATAAAAGTGGAATTGTTTTCCTAATTTTTGTGTTCATAAAATAATGATGGATAGAAGTGTCATTGATGTTAATATTGTATTTGCATAGGGGGAACTAATTTGCAACATTTTTCTTATTTTTGATGATAGCAGAATAATTATTATTTGAATTAACATTTAATGCAAATTTTCTCCTTAGCTCCACTAAAAGAATGACCAATTTAAATTAACGGATTCCCAAAAACAAAATCCTAAAAATTAAAAAACATACACAAACAACAACTACTAAAAATAAAACAACTACTAAAATAAAAAAACAACTCGAACAAAAACACGAAGAATATTCAAACATTAAAAATTATTAATGCGAAAATGGCGAAATGAAGTTAATATTGTATTTGCATTAATTTTTAGGGTGCAAGGAGGATATAAATTGTTTTCATTTGCAGCATTCACAGATTATTTCCATGACAAACACTTAATTAGAAGTGTCGTTGTATCCATAAAATAATGATGGATAAGAGTTCACAGATCAAATGGCAAATAATCTGTGAAAGCTGCAAATGAAAACATATATGATAATCACACATGGAGTTCAGATTACTGGTCTTTCATGCAGGTAATCACATGGAGTTCTGGATACTATACTCAGGTTCATATTTTCATCTAACTCAACATAAATAGCTTATTTCTCATTATTCTATAGGAGATTGTAGGAATGTTTATCTTACAAATGGTAACATTTTGAATTTTGTGGCAGTTGTTGATGTGCAAATCAAGACTATTAATGTGATTATATAAAAACTTTTATAATATGTGGCATATTTTTAGCTTGAATAGAAATCTGATTTTGATTAAGTGGCTTGTTGAAGCAGTTTATATCTCAACATTTTATAGTAAAACTTGAAAGTTGACCAACTGTGAAAATAAGTATAATGCCATTTACATTACAAGAAACATGGAAAAAAGAGTAATTGTTAAAGTGATTGCTGGAGATTCTGGATGTGCAATATGTATAGGTATTGCAAGGTAGATAACATTTCAAAATCAAACAAGAAGAAGGTAACAAAGTAAGAAAAGTGGTAAAAGAACAAAATTGGAAGATAAACATTATTATGGAAAATAACCATAGAAAAGTAGTCAAGGAAGCACGGCGGGTTCGAATAGGAAAAAATCCCTTCCCTTCAGAAAAAGAAAAAAGAGATACTAATGGGAACCCTTTGAGCTGACGAAATTAGTAATATTATACGCGAACGTGGCTGACCGGCGATTACTAGCAATTCCAACTTCATGCAGGTGTGTTGCAGCCTGCAATCCGAACTGAGGACGGGTTTTGGAGTTAGTTGATTTCCGGCAATTCACCTCATGAGGAAGGAGACATATTTCTCTATCTCCACTAAGCATAACTAATGGAGGAATCATGCTCAAGTTTGGAATAGATTAAGGGGGAGAAAGAAAACCAATATCATAAAATGTGAAATCTTTAAGTAAGTAAATATTTGTAATCATGTATTTCTCCTAGAATATGTAAATTAATTTCTCTATGAGATCATAAACATAAGTGAATCACCAAACTATTCTCCCAGAGTATATATTATTTCTATTTGTTCTCATGCGCACCATTGCTATGGGGGCTCATACTTCTCCCCAACAAAAGCCCCATGGGTGGTATTGATTTTAAAGGTAAAGTGGAAGAAAGGGCACTCTAATGTAGAATCAAGGTTTTTAGAATTGGACTGAAATTGAATTGCTGGAAGAAAATGCTCAAGTTTTAAAATTTCAACTAGGATCGAAATGATATAAATATTATTAAAATTAATTAGAATTATCTAAATGACAATATTACTAATAATGATGACAGCTAAGTAATAATCTGAATATATATAATATAAATTAAGACATATAGCACATACATGAAATACATAAAAAAAATATCATACTGTAACATTATATTTTTATTATAATTTCTAGCCAAGTCAATTCAACTGCTCCTTGAGTTGTTCGATCCAATTTTCACATCCATAGGTAGAATAATAAAATAAAATATAACGGACTTAAATGAGAATGAATAGAATTTGCCAATAATCTGATGAGAGCATCGCATAATTAAATATAATTACATGATAAATCAGGATTCATCTACCTTAAGTCATCAAATGTTGTACATATATGAATATTGTCAAATTCCTGGAAGCAAGCAGCTAAAAAACTGTTTGGGTGGCAAGCAAAAATCCTTACTAAGAAAAGAACTCTAATGTAGAATCAAGCTTCTTAGAATCCAGACAGGACATTGACCTGATGGAAGAAAATGTTCAAGTTTCAAATTTTCAACCAGAATCCAAATGATCTAAATATGATTAAAATTATTTAAATTATATAATATTTCTAATAATGATAAATAAATAATAATCTGAATATATAATATAATTCAAAAAATTTAATACCTACATGAAATAAGTCCAAAAATCTTATATTCTAACACTATCTCTTCTTTACAATTTCTAGTCAAGCCAATTCAATTGTTTCTTGAGCTGTTTAACTACCAGTTTTTATGGGTTGAACCCAATTCAATTGATTGATTAGATCTGATTTTCACATCCATAGGTGGAATAATAAAAAGAAATATGACATAATTAAATGAGTATGAATAGAACATGCTGGTAATGTAATGAGAGCATCACACTATTTAAATATAATTACATGACAAATCAAGAACCACATACCTGAAGGCAGCAAATATTATTCATATATGAATGTTGTCATTTTCCCGGAAGCAGATAGCTAAGAAACTTTTTGTCACAAACAAAAATCCTTACTAAGAAATGAACAAAATCAAATCAAAATTTTGATGCAGGTAAATGAATTTGAGAACAAAATTTCATATGCATCAGGAATCAAGAGTAGGATAATAATAGCTTTATGTAAGCACATTAGTGGGATATTCAACAACCATTGAGATGGCATAGATGCTTTCATATATCTCTCTCTTCTTCAATTTCTAACTCATTTCCCTAATGCCTTAATTTGGTCTTCTTTGCCTTCCTGACTTTCCTCTCTTTGCCAATCTTTTCATTATTCTTCGCACTTTTCTTCACATTTGAAATATGAACATCAACATGATCATCATCATCATCATCACCGACAGAAGTTGCAATAGCAGCATCCACATTCTTCACATTTGCCTCCCCATCAGCCCCAACATTTTCCTGATCCTCATTGCTTCCATGAAGACTAACCTTTTTCCCTTTCTTACCTTTGCTCTTCATTTTCTTTTTCAGCAGAAGCTCCTTCTTATCACCATGATCAACTTCAACTGCTGTAACAATAGCATCAACTGTCAAACCATCGTTTATATCATGTTCTTCCACCTCAGAATTCACAATCTTCTTTGCCCTCTTTCGCATCTTTCTCCCAGTATCTAACTCAATGAACTGATCACCACTTTCTTTCTCTTCACCTTCATCCTTATCAATAGCAGCTGTCCTACGCTTCTTACCCTTTATCAGCTTACCTTTCCCATCTTTCTTCTTCTTCTTCTTCTCCATTCCTAACTCATCATTTTCCTGCTCATCTGCAACTTCTTCATTTTCATCTTCAATGCAATCCACAAGTTCGCCACCTACATAATCCACATCGTGAATCCTTCCCCTCCCCTTCTTTGACCCCACTCGCTTCTTCCTACTCTTCTCCTTCTTCGCTCCACTCTTTCCATCCCTCTCTTGAACAACCATTCCATCTAAAGGCTGGGCCTTATCCCTTGAACCTACCTCAATCTTCATCCCCATTTCAGGAACCACCTGATAGATCGGCAGCGCCACAGATTGCACCGCCTTGATATACATACACCTAATGTTTGCCCACTTCTTTGGCACATGATTTACTGCGCCCTCAATTGCAGCCATCAAATTATCTATGATCTCCTCTCGATCCATGGACACCCTCCCCACTTTCATCCCAATACCAGTTCCAGAAGAAAGGAATAAAAGCGTAGATCTACACGCCTGTCGAACAGCCTCCGGCCAGCCAGGCCGGGAGATATTGACGGCGAGAGGGATCTTCTTCTTCTTAAAGAAATAGTTACCGATAAAGCGGGGAAGAAGAGTAATGATGCGGCGTTCGGCAAAGAAGATGTCGTACGAGTCGCAGAGCCGGCGGCGAGACTCGAAGGGTACGTAGTCTGTTCGGAGCTCGGAAAGGGGAATAACGGAATCGAAGGGTAGTTTCTCAGCGGCTGCGGTGGATCTGGCGGTCTCAGCGAGGGAGTCGTCGGCGATGAGACAGAGAGAGGTGCGTGAAGGGTCGAGAGGATGGAGAGAGTGTGGTAGAGGAATGCGGTAGGGATTGAGACGAGACGTGGAGGGGAAGCGGCGGACGCTTAAATGGAGGTAGAGAAAATCATCATGCTCGAAAAGCTGAGCCTTGCTCTGCTTGGCTCTCGCGCGTAGGAACCCTAGAAGGGCGTCGACGGCACGGCCAGCGTCTTCACGGATGATCCTCGAGGATCCGGGAGTTGAGGAAGGAGACATCGGCGGTAGAAGAACAGAGAGAGAGAAGAGGGTTTAAGCCGCCGCAGGTAATCAACTATCAAGAGAAGGCGCAGCAATGTTCATAGTTTAAAGAAGCCCTAGCACACGGCAGTTTGGCTGCAAGTGTAATTCAGAATAATTTAATTTAATGTAGATTTTTTTTTTTTTGATGTTTAATTGAAAGTACTCCAAATAAGGAGTAAAATTTTAGTATCTTTGAAATTCATGGTTTAATATATTTTAGGGTTTTTAGATATCTAATACTTAAAACAAGTCTATTTATCTATTTAACAATTGAACTTTCATATTTATCTATATACTACTTAAAAACTCTTACTCTTATCAAAAATAATATTATGTCGTCTCCCATCAACACCAAGCCATGAAAGAGTGCTGGAACCTCTAACTCGAGCAGAGCAGCTTCCTCTCTCGATTTGAATCGCACAATTCGTGAATCTCCAGTTAGTGCGACATAACCATTTCTTCTGTTTGAATCACAGTTCGCAAATCCCACTCGCTCGTCTTCTCCTTTTGCGAATATGTCTTCTCTAGCTAGTGGCGACATAGGCATTCCTTCTCTTTAGGTATTTTATTCACTTACCATCCAACCTAGAATAGAAAGATGAGATTAATAGGATTTAGGAGGAGGAAGTCTTCTGCTTGGCATCTTCTCCACTTGTTGAATAAGTGTCAAACTTTTACAATAGATAAAAAATAGGTTCTTTAGAATCAGCAACAAAATAGAGAATAGGAAAAGCCTCTCTGGCCACCGTCAAAACTGCAACACCTTTTGATTCCTCTGCAGCTCCAACTGATTTGTTATGCTTTTATCAATATGCAACATATGTTTCCTCTGCAGTTTGGTGTTTTCTCCAGCTAGTGGAGACAAAGCTCCAAATATTTAAAGCTTGCTGCTCTGCTATGCTTTTATTAATATACCTTCTATTTTACCTTGGGTTTAATCTGAACCATTTACTTTAAATCAGCTAAGATGTTAGGTAGTCTTACTCTCTTGAGCTATATTTTTACATTTATTCATGTATTGTAGTCATCTACATTATGTTTTACATATGTTAAGTTATCCTCCTTATTTTTTACATGTTAAGAGCATCTGTAGTAAATGTATTTTATCATTTATAACTGATTGATGTAATTTTTAATTTTTCTATCAGATATAGAGTGCAATAATGTATGCTCTATTTTTTTTTTTAAATATGGAGGATATTAGAATGAGGTGAAGGGTCAAAGTAGGATAAAATATGTCGGTGGAAGTCAGAAAACTTTGAAGTTTGATAGAGGTCATATTAATTTACTATTATTAGAAGAACGGACCTAAGCAATTTGTCAGTGGATTGGGGTCATGCCTATGACTACACTATTATATTAGTGAAACATCACCCAAAATGTACATGCCAATTAAGAATGATAAATATTTGATGGACATGCTTATAGGTTATTGTAATGGCAACAAAGTGGAGGTGGTGGTTGTAGTGATAGATCATCAAGAAGATATGACTTATACGGATGGAACTCAGCGTGCAATGTGCAAGATTTAAGTGCCAAGAACATGGTTAACAATGACATATTAGTAGATGGTTTGTGTGATGATTCATTTGTGGCTGAAGTTGAAGAAAAAATTATTTATGTGTTGGCTCGTGTTTTGAGGATTCGTCAAGTTTTAAGCAAGCTATTCATTCTAATGCAATTTGACATAAATTTGCTATCAAGATTAAGGCAAGTGAAAAATCAAGAGTTATTTCTACATGCACATATCATGGTTGTCCATGAAGAATATGTGCCTCTTTATGTTCGGATGACCATTCATTCAAAGTTAGAAAATTACATTCGACACTTTTATGCCTGGGAGTTATCAAAGTTGGGAACAAACAAGCTACCTCAAGTTGGATTGCTCATAAAATCAAGGACATTGTGAAAAGGAATCCTGATGTTACTCCAAAGGATATTGGTAATAACTTAGATACCACTTTTGGTTTATCTTTACCATACATGAAAATATGGTGTTCGAGGGAATTAGCAAGAGAGAAAATGTTTGGTTCAGTAGATGATAACTACAAGTGGGTGCCCACATTGAGGTCTGAGTTAATGAATAGGAATCCTGGTTCACATATAACATTCTAATGTGACAAATAAAATGGCTCATTTAAGAGGTTCTTTGTCAATTTCAAGGTCTGTATTGATGGTTTCCATGCTGGTTGTAAAAATTTAATTGGTATTGATGATTTCCATCTAAAATCAAAATATTTAGGTGTGCTCCTTTTTGCTAATTCGTTGGATGGGAACAATGGACTCTTTAATATTGCATTCGCCATTGTTGAATCTGAATCAAAGAAAAGTTGGGAGTGGTTTTTGATGAATTTGTCCCAAGCTTTTAATGTTGATATAAAACATTTAGCATTCATATCGGATATGGAGAAAGGGCTTGGTGAAACAATTAAGGTTTCTTTCTTAATGCTGAGCATAGAGTTTGTATGCTGCACCTTTGGAAAAATATTAAGAGACTTTTTTGTTGTGATGATAGCCACAGTTTGCAAAAAAAAAAGGTGTGGACTGCCACTAAATGTTATAGCCTACATGAGTTTAATTCTAAGCTACAACAAATATTTAACACTAATCCACAAGTTCATTCCTACCTAACATCATAAACCTGTAAGTGGTCGAAAGAAACCTTTTCAAACCATATTAGGAACCAGTACGACACAAATAACATGGCAGAATCCTTCAATTCTTAGGTAGAGGAGGAAAGGAGTAAGCCTGTTACTGATCTAATCGACATGATTAGAGGTATGTTGATGGAACAACGTTCTCATCAAAAGTCAAATGCAATTTCTTGGAGATGCCCTCTTGTTCCGTGTGTAGAGGAGTACATTAGAGATGTTACAACTAGAAAAACAACTTTCATCATACGATAGTCAACTACAACCAAAGCTGAAGTTGAAGGGCTTTCTGAGAAACATGACGTTGACATAGATAGATAGACGTGCACGTATGGTTTTTGTCAAATTTCATAATTACCATGTTTACATGTTGCAGCATTTGTAGGAACAAAACATCAAAATTTGTGGCACACGTATGTGGATGAGCAATATTACAGTTATAGGTTTGTGATCTTCCTTCATTAAAAGCTTCGTTTACATTTGTTATCTAAACATCACTATTTTGTGTAGATAAAGAATGGCATATGATGGAGCCATTTCAACATTGCCAGGGAAAGAGCAGTGGAACTTACTAAGTGATAACTAGTTTGTTTCCCACATGTTATAATCAGGCCACATGGTAGACAGAAAAAAAGTTGAATTAAGAGCTTCTTGGAAGGTGCACATAAATAGAAAACAACCCATAAATGTGGTCGATGCAATTCTTGGGATCACCATAGAAGTACTTGTAAGGAACCTATAAATTTTGAGGGAGATGATATTCAAACTGATGTTTCCTCAAAATTACCCATTTGGCGTGCCAATTATAATTATGGACCTGATTGAATTACTACATTTTGTATACCTTTTGAGCCAAAGACTTATAAATTTCTTTGTTTTTTAAGCCCAAGACATATAGTTCTGGTTATTGAAAAAAATTTAGCAAATCGATTTAATCTGAGATTTTTATTTTACAGTTATATTTTCATTATAATTATAGTTGATAAAAAAATCAACAAATTATAATTCTTCTTGTGAATCATATTCAGTTTAGAATAAGATGTAGTTATATGAATAATAAAATCCTGCTCCCAAAACTTCTCATTGAATTCAAATGAACCAGAAAAGTGAGTATAGGTCACAAATGCTATGTAAGTATTCTGAATATTGATTCGCAACTGTGCCGTCCACAATTACTTGAATGAAAACAAAATGCCCTGCATGCGAACAGAAATCAGGTGCCAAATGGAGATACAATTGAACAATCTCAAATATTTTATAATAGATAAGACAAAAAAATTTGCCACAAATCTCTAGTTCTTTTCAAAAGCATACTGAACTCAAGGTTGCATTGACTGACAAAAAAGTTACATTGACTCAAAGTGACATTTAAGCATAGAGATATTTATTTACAGTGAACGCTACAATAACATTAAGGAAAATCAATATGACCATCAAATTTTTATTTATAACAGCTCAGCTCTAATTGAAGCAATATGCGTTATACTACTTTCAGTAACATTTGAACTTCGGAAATTGCTATCATACAAAAATTCATCAACTTCATCACACCATAAAAATAATGGCAATCTTCTGTTCTATTTCGGGAGCATCTGTAGTGTTTTCTTCCTCTACTACGAGATTGTTAAGATGTAAATATCATACATTGTAAGTTAGAATGACAATATATTTGATTACTAAAGTTTTAGATTGCCGTTGCTGAGGAACTCGAACTCATTGTAGATTGCCTTCATAAAATACACCTTCAAAAAATGAAAGAAAATGAAGTCATGAGAAGTAGAACAATTGCTTCGCATTCCATTCATTCAGAAAATACACCTTGGCATTTCATCAAACACCTATTATGCATCTCTAAATTTACAAACACAACATAGTGAATGAAGACTTGAGAAGTTTACCCTAAACAACTAATGAAGAAGATCACCATCAATAATAAAAACTAAAAGTAATTATAAATCTGTTAAAAAAAGAAATGGAATGAAGAAGAAAAACCATATGTATCACATTACCAACTTGTGACACAACCTAGCGAGCAAAATAGTCAAACAGGGTGATCATATCTGGAGAAGTCATCGTAAAATAGTCGTGACTTTGGACTAGGAAGTGGTGAATGGGTGGCAGAGCGAAGTGCTATAGATGACGGGGCGACCGGAGCGAACGTCCTTAAGAAAGAGTAGTATATTTGATTTAAAATGAGTGTTTTAGGTGGTATATTAGTAAATAGATTAGTTTAGGTGTTAAATTTGTATTTTCAACATTTTTAGGTGTTCATATGTAAAAATCCCTTTATTTAGAGGGATTATCATTGTTTAAAATTGTGTAATATGAGGCTTGCATTGAGGCCCGTTTTAGCGCAATTCCAATGACAAACACCTAAAGGTTTACACCTCGAGTTTTTTTTTTACGAGGCTTGCCTTTAGGCGTGCATCACC